AGGATTAAATATATAAAGTAATTATGGGGAAGGAATATATGGTATCACCAATAGATAGATAGATAGATAGATAGATAGATAGATAGATATAGATAGATAGATAGATAGATAGATAGATAGATAGATAGATAGATGATAGATAGATAGATTAGATAGATAGATAGATAGATAGATAGATAGATAGATTAGATAGATAGATAGATAGATAGATAGATAGATAGATAGCTAGATAGATAGATAGATAGATAGATAGATAGATAGATAGATAGATAGATAGATAGATAGATAGATAGATAGATAGATAGATAGATAGATAGATAGATAGATAGATAGATAGATAGATAGCTAGATAGATAGATAAATAGATAGATAGATAGATAGATAGATAGATAGATAGATAGATAGATAGATAGATAGATAGATAGATAGATAGATAGATAGATAGATAGATAGATAGATAGATAGATAGATAGATAGATAGATAGATAGATAGATAGATAGATAGATAGATAGATAGATAGATAGATAGATAGATAGATAGATACATAGATAGATAGATTGACTTGTTAAAAAACTAATTTTGTTTTTAGCGATTTTTGTATTTTACACTAAATTTACATCACTTTCTTGCTGCCAAGTAAGTTGCCACTAAATTGTAAACAAATGTGTTGCCATATTATAATTTAATTATAAGGAATAATAAATTGGATGTTAATCTATATGTGAAGTTTTATTAAACATTTTCACTAGTTACCGCACTAGTTGCTTCAAATCAAAGGGTTTTCTTTTCAAGTAGCCAATGTTGAAAATATTTAATTTAAAGAATTTATTTCTATGAATACTTTTTTTACGATTTGCTCTAAATTTTCTTTAATGCATTAATTTTTTTATACACAATTGAAAACTCTCACTTCTATAAATATTTTCTATATAAATTTGAACATATTATTTTTTCTTTTATTAAAAAAGGTATTAAAACTATAATAACAGAATAATAAAACAAAAAAAGTACAAACAAAAAAAATTAACAAACAAACGTGCCAAGTGAAATTCATTGAATATATTGTATATTTTTTCAAACATTTTTATGAATAAACAAAAAATCCGTTTATTGTCAAAATAATAAAAGCCATAACAAAGTTGTAATATGTATAGAAAAACCATATAAATATTTACAGAAAAAAGTTAAATTAAAAAAAAAACTACATGAAAACGTTAAAGCACAAGCCAAGCTAACAGAAAAGTGTTGGCAACATTTTATGTCATGGTTACAATTAAAAGACAAAAGACGAAAAAAAAAACAAATAATTGAATTAAACAAAAATATTTTATAGCTGATGACATGCATGCACAATTATTTAAAGTTGCTTTAATTAACGTGTTTGAAATTTTTAATTTTAGCTTTTTTAAGTTTTTTTTTTTTTTAACGAAAATGATTTATTTTTTATTTTATTTCATTTTTATTAGAGCGTTTTATTTTTAATGTTTTAAGATTTTTTTATAAAAAAAATCATTAAAAGCTCGTGTTTTTAAGTTTATAATCTATATATATAAAATTCTAACGTTACTGACTGACTGACTGACTGACTGACTGACTGACTGATTCACTGACTGATTCATCATCGCACAGCCTAAACGGTTGAAGCTAAAGAGCTGAAATTTGGACAGGAGGTTGGTCTCCCGCCAAATAGATCCACTAAGACGGGATTTTTGGAAATTCGAATGTTTAGGGGGTAAAAAAGGGTAAAAACGGGTAAATTCGGTAACCTTATATCTCCTAAACTAGAAAAGATACAAAAACAGTTTAAAGCTTATCGCCGTTCATTTAAAAAATAAACGGACAGGTGTCTGGTACTTTTTTAAAATTCGGCCCCTTTAGGGAATAAACGGGTAAAAACTGTATTTTGGTACTTTTTTCGCACCCCATATATCTTTTAAACCAGTGCACATTCAAAAAATATTTTTGACTCCTTCATAACTTAACGAAAAAATAAAAATATGAATTTAGTACTTTTTGGATATTCGTACGTTTAAGGGGTTAAAATTGTACCTATTTTTGGTACTTTTTTCATAAAACATTGTTTTTGGTTTATTAACTTATACATATGAATACATAATAACAGGCTCCCACTACGATGTTGCAACTTTTTGGGATAGAATTTTTATTTCGTTAATGGGGAGGAAAAAAGTACCAAAAGGGGTAAAAACGGGAAATTTGATTTTATTCAACCACAATGATCCAATTTAGATAAAATTTTTAAATTTAGAAACACTAAATATCCTAGTGGGGTGTTATTTGGAACCCCGGTATCAAGGGATATTTTTTGGTACTTTTCATTCTCCAACTGGTCCTTTTTGAGTTTTCTATGATATTGAAATAGAAACATGAAATTAATAATAAAGGGACTTTTCGCTACTTTTTCGTTCTACACAGGTACCTTTTTGAGTTTTCTTTAAAATTAAAGCTAGAAACATGAAATTAAGCATGTAGAGCTCGGAGTAAATGAGAATCTATAAAATGGGACTTTTTGGTACTTTTTCGTTCTTCAAAAGGTACTTTTTGAATTTTCCATAATATTGAACCTAGAAACATGAAATTAAACATGTAGAGACCGGAGTAAATGAGAATCTATAAAAGGGGACTTTTTGGTACTTTTTCGTCCTTCGACTGGTACTTTTTGAGTTTTCTATAAAATTTAACCTAGAAACATGAAATTAAGCATGTAGAGCCCGGAGTAAATGAGAATCTATATAAGGGGACTTTTTGGTACTTTTTCGTCTTTGGACTGGTACTTTTTGAGTTTTCTATAAAATTTAACCTAGAAACATGAAATTAAGCATGCGGAGGCCTTAGTTAATGAGAATCTATAAAAGGGGACTTTTTGGTACTTTTTCGTCCTTCGACTGGTACTTTTTGAGTTTTCTATAAAATTTAACCTAGAAACATAAAATTAAGCATGTAGAGCCCTTACTAAATGAGAATCTATAAAAGGGGACTATTTGGTACTTTTTCGTCTTTCGACTGGTACTTTTTGAGTTTTCTATAAAATTTAACCTAGAAACATGAAATTAAGCATGTAGAGCCCTTAGTAAATGAGAATCTATAAAAGGGGACTTTTTGGTACTTTTTCGTCCTTCGACTGGTACTTTTTGAATTTTCTATAATATTGATCCTAGAAGCATGAAATAAAGCATGTAGAGACTGAAGTAAATGAGAATCTATAAAAGGGGACTTTTTGGTACTTTTTCGTCCTTCGACTGGTACTTTTTGAGTTTTCTATTAAATTGAACCTAGAAACATGAAAATAAGCATTTAGAGCCCGTAGTAAATGAGAATCTATAAAAGGGGACTTTTTGGTACTTTTTCGTTCTTCAAAAGGTACTTTATGAATTTTCTATAATATTGAAAATAGAAACATGAAAGTATGCATGTAGAGCCTGGATTAAGTGAGAAACTATAAAAGGGGACTTTTTGGTACTTTTTTGTTCTTCAAAAGGTACTTTTTGAATTTTCTATAATATTGAACCTAGAAACATGAAATTAAACATGTAGAGCCCGAATTAAGTGAGGACCTATAAAAGGGGACTTTTTGGTACTTTTTCGTTCTTCAAAAGGTACTTTTTGAATTTTCTATAATATTGATCCTAGAAGCATGAAATTAAGCATGTAGAGCCTGGAGTAAATGAGAATCTATAAAAGGGGACTTTTTGGTACTTTTTCGTTCTTCAAAAGGTACTTTTTGAATTTTCTATAATATTGATCCTAGAAGCATGAAATTAAGCATATAGAGCCTGGAGTAAATGAGAATCTATAAGAGGGGACTTTTTGGTACTTTTTCGTTCTTCAAAAGGTACTTTTTGAATTTTCTATAATATTGAACCTAGAAACATGAAATTAAGTACGTAGAGCCCGGAGTAAGTGAGAACATATAAAAGAGGACTTTTTGGTAATTTTTCGTTCTTCAAAAGGTACTTTTTGTGTTTTTGTATAACATGAAATTAACCATGTGGAGCCCGGAGTTAATGAGAATCTTTAAAAGGGGACCCTTTGGTAATTTTTCGTTCTTCAACTGGTACTTTTTTAATTTTCTATAATATTGAACTTAGGAACATGAAATTAAATAAAAGAGGTCTTTTGTTACTTTTTCGTACTTCATTGGAACTTTTTGAGTTTTCTAAAATATTGAATATATAAACATAAATTTAAATAGGGGACTTTTTGATATTGCAGATATATATACATTTACAATAATATTTATTTTATTTCATTACGATGAGGGTAGCGAAGCACACTGGGTATAGCTAGTCTATTATAAAATGGTGTCTGTTTTCATAATACATTAAATTCGAATACTTATGAGAGACACTGTATATGTATATATACAAGTGATTATTTAATAATTATTTATTTGTGGTAATAAAACACGTTATTTACCAAAGAAATTATGAAAAAAATCGATATTTAATTCATGCTAGCAGAAGATATCGAATGTCATACCGGATGAAGAAGTTGCGTTATTTATGAAGTATATAAATAAGAGAGGAGGCCGGAAATTTCCAAAATATGGCAGGCAATGAAATACACTCAGATTTCCCGAGAAAAAGAAAAACAAAGCTAAGAGTTCTGTAGATAACAATTACTTAGATCAACAATAATTACAACAACTTCGGAATGACCAGGTTCCCAATGTGCCTACTTATGTACAACTGCACCAACTGAAAGTTTTATCAAGGGATTAACTTACAACAACAATGATACTATTAAAATAGGACATTGGATATACTTTCGAAAGATATAATGATTTAAATCAACAATAGCTACAATAACTTCGAAATGACACGATAAAAACAAGTTTTTTTTGTATCAGAAAGTTTTTCCCCAAGGAAATAATTTACCAGAAGAATGGACAGACTAATTAACTCTTTTCATCATCGGACAAAATTATTGTTTCGATTTCAATTTCTTAAATATGTACATAAAAATACGTTCTGAAACTTACCTTGGCATTACACTTTTGATCTTTCCATATTTTCGAAGACAAAACAAATTCCATATGTTTCATACGCCATAAGGGTTTAAACAACACCTGATATATACACATCGAAGGCTCCAACATAGTGGCCAATGGACCACGTACCGTATATTGTAAAGATAATATATCCCAACCAATATCACCATCACAAGGAGACATTAATCTAACATCTAAGTGATTTAATATTTCTGGATCATCGTATTGGGCATTTGTTGAACGAATTGCAGCGTCCATAATGGAAGACAAATCATATGAATACAATTCTTTGGCGGGTTTATCAAGTTCGCATCTGTAAACAAAAAACATTTGTTTATGTTTTTTTATATTTAATAATAGAGTTAAAAAGAAAACTTACTTTAAGTTTTCCATTAAAATGCCGATAAAATCACCTTGCCCTAATAGCAAATAGCGGCGCATGGCCTGTAAGTGTTCTAGTAGTTTATGTGGACCCATAACAATATCAAGAACACGTTTCGAAGTATTGAGATATATGGCATCAATTGTTGAATGCAATTTCGTATCAGCCACCGAAGAAAAAATATGCTCAGCTTAAAAAATAACAGGAAAAAATTTAATTTATTTATTAATTCTTCGAATAATTGGAGCATACTAACCATTTTCTTCTATACAATGTCTTAACTCATCTCGACCTTTAACGGGCTGCTTGTCTTCACATATCTCACATAGAAAATTAATACTTTTACCGGTTACCAAAATTTTATGAGCCAAATCAGTGGATACGAAATTCGGCAACATGGACGAACGTACACGATACTTGTCATGCCACAAACGATCCGGTCCCACCTCAACCAAACATTCTATAAAGAATTCACCATGAGGATCACATAATTCTCCTTCCAAAAGCCATTTTGTTAGCATTTGATATAGAGGACCGCATATGGCTAACAGCAATTCTTTGGCAATATTTTTCACCATGGGATTACCATTGTTCATAAAACCATGTACCGTTGAGGCTAAAGCGCCACCTTTCTTTTCCTGACAAGCCTCGGCAATAGAAGCTAAAAGTTGTAATCGTTGTAGAGGATCTACAGACCAAACAAGAATTTTCATTAAAGTTAAACGTTCGGGGCGAGAAGGGCAATTGAATAGGGCAAATGTCTCGCCTTGACGTTGTTTATTGAGTTGTTCCTGTAGCATGGCCACCATGCCATAGTATTTGGTGAGCTCTGTTTTTAAAGCAGACACAAATCCCTGACCCATTAAGCCCAAAGCACATAAGCCACTTTTGGTATCGGTGTAGGACTGTACTAAATCATGATAATAACCCAATTCGGCTAGACGTAATAACATACCAGCCTGCACCACATTTAAAGATTTCGCTTTAACATCCAACTTAAATTTACCCGAAACTACATCTTTTTTTAAGTATTTTCCTTGAATGCCCGTAAAGGCATAAATGACATTTTGTACAATGTCATCGTTGAGATTATTTTGGGCTTCTTGCATTTTATTTAGATCTGCGTTAGTAGAACTACGCAAAGGAAGATGAGTACTGGCTGCTGAGGACAACATGCTTGTTGCAGGCATTGTATCATTTTCAGAACCACTTCTACTACCTCCACCACCTTGACTCGTTTGGCGAAACATGGATATTTTATGATTTAAATCTGAAGAATTATAAATATTCGAAGCCTTAAAGCATGAAGGTGGATTAGAATTAGTGGGAAATTAATACAGTATAAATGACTTACATTTCCTGTTGCCATTAGAGAAATCTGTGGTGTGCCCGCCAATGGTTGAGATTTATGCAAAAGATGACTTCTAAAGGAAGTCATGGTACTATTTGGTGGCAAGGATGCATTCGGATTACTATAACGATGTCTTTGTAAGCCCGTAGTTTTCATATTTGAGGCCGTGTGGCCATAACCATTTTCTGCAGTTGTATATTTTGAATCAGCCATATAATATAGAAATGTTAATAATGCACTTCGTTGCTGTGAATCTAATTGCTGAAAATTTTGTAAAACACCAAATAATTAAATTTTAATTTGAAGTCAATTTTCAAAAACGTTAAACACAATTCAAGCGAACTATTTCTATAGTCTCTTTAGAAGAAACTTTTTTTAAAGAAATGTCTTTTTAAAATAATTGTTCTATAGAAAAGCCAATTTAAAGGAAACGTTCTATAGAACAGTCTCTTTTGAAGAAATTTTCTAAAGAAAAGCCTCTTTAGAAGAAATATTCTATTGCAAAATCTCTTTAGAAGAAATTTTTTTTATAGAAAAGTCTCTTTAGATGAAATTTTTCTATAGAAACGTCTCTTTAGAATAAACTTTTCTACAAAACACGTCTCTTTGGAATGAACTTCTCTATAGAAAAGTTTCTTTAAAAGAAATTTTTCTATCGAAGTCTCAAAAAAAAATAGCCTAAATTTAGGACATAATTTTCTTATAGAATAAATTTTTCCAAAACAAAGACATTTTCTGATTAAAAAAAATCTTATTCCAACTTACACTGGCTTTTAATTGCTCATGCAAATTCAAAAATAATGCTGAATTGTGACGAGATCCGCCACCACTTGATGTGCCCAAAACGGAAGATGATGTTGCAGCTCCGGAAGATTCGGTGGTATTAAGATGTTGGGTTATTTTAGCTACCAAAGATGCCTCATCATATGGTAGTGTAGAACCCAAAGCCGAGGGGCAGTTTGATATGTATTGGGTAATGTGGCGCAAAACGTCCCCTGGAAATGTTAAATGAAATAAATGATCATGTTCTTAAAATATCTACACCACAAACACACACAAATTAAACCCAATACAAAATTAGACAGATAATATTGATGAAATATTTTGTTTAAGGCGGACAACACGAGACGAATTAAATTAATTTTATTTATTTTTTTTTTCTATTTGACATTAAAAATAACTTACTGTGATTGTCTTTTGAGCCCACAAAACTTTTGCAAAGCCTTTCCAATAAATCGTAAATATCTTTATAATTACTGCGTCCTCCACCAGAGGCAGCTGTATGTGAACCGCTACCACTTACTGTTGTTGTTGCTGGGCCCACTGTTGGTGTTGTGGTCACATTAAATGACATAATTGTGCTTGTTTAATTATTGTTTTCTTGAACTTTAATTAATTGTCTGCAAAAAATTCCAGGGCACTTGTATTGAAATGTTTGCTTTTTTAGCTCCTTGTCTCATGGACACAATTTCACTCTTTTTCACTCACACTCTCTTTTAAATAAATATGAACACCGTTTTTTTTATTTCTTTCCTCATATAACAACAATGTCGCAAAAAAAAAACGTAAAGGCAACAACAAAACCAACTGTCTATGTTTTTGCTGTTTTTAAGGATTTCTTTTAATTATTTGTGTTATTTTCTTTTAAATAATTGTACAAAGCGCGTAAACTTTTTATTAATTGTTTAAAAATTTCTATTATAATTGATATTTTCTTTGATTTTTGCGAATATAAATTTACAAACAATAAAACAAAAAGTTTTCAAAAAAAGTTTTCTTTTGGCTTTTTATATTCTGGCGTTGCCAGAAGTAAAAATTTATTAATAGGATAATATTAACCCATTAGCGGGTTTATATTTTAATTCAGCATAATTTCTCTATAGTTTTCTTGCAGGGATGGTTAAATTGAAAATCAACATAACTTTAGAACTCCGAAGTTACACTTGATAACATCCTGTTTAATTTCTTTTATGTAAAATTGTGTTTATAAAGTTTTTCCAAAGATAATTAATAATATAAGATTTTCTTCTATAGAAAATTTATATTTGAAAATAAAATAAACTCTCCAGCTCAGCAATAACCGTACACAATATGGCAATATACATCACACATATGGCAGCACAAATTTTTTGATTTATCTGTTTCCATTTGACATTTGTCTGGGCGTTTGGTATTTTTTTTGCTCAGCCGTAAAGTTTGTGCCACGAATTCGTTGTTTGCTCTGAAATATACATTTTAATTTATTAAAATAAACGGGTAAAAACTAAATAAAACGAAAAAATATCTTTTGAAACGTTTTTAGACTATAATAAAGTATTTAAAGAGTTAATAATTGTAACTAAAAGTTATGCATTTGTAGTGAAAAACTTGTTTTGAAAATTTGGCTGTGATTCAGGAAAAAGACGCCGGGTCAGCTTTTTCTATAGAACAAACTTTTTTGTGCTTTAATTTATAAGCGGCTTTTTTGTGTAAGAGTGCGGGGGTGTTAAATGCATAAATTTATCAATAATAAACTGTAATAGATTAAATAAAACGCCATAATGGTAGTGGAAACGGCGGTGCCATCAGCAAAAACCAGATTTTTAACATGGGAAAAACAAGAACATCTAGTAAAATTGGCAATTTTGATAATAGCTGCAGTATTGTGTGAGTATAAACAAGAATTTATTGACGATACCAAAGGGAAAAAAGAACACAAAGTACCTTAAACAAAAATGAAGCACTGAGACTTTAACATTTTATGAGTTTTAATTTAACAGTAATGTTATTATTCAGAGTTGTTTGGTTATGTAAGAGTTGTATTTTTGGGTATTTATGTTAAAATAATAAAAAACGGTTGTATTTTTGTGTTACGCGCGGTATGATGGTATGGTATGACTACTCTTCAAATCATATAGAAACCCTAAGGTCGTCATACCACATGAAATACTCGGGGTTGTATGAAGACTTGGTACGACGACTTTTTTGGCGCAATAAGTATTCGTACAGAAGACTTTTTGCGCCTAAACTAGAGTCTCCAAATTATATATAGCACCATAATTGCCAGATGATCACAAAAATCTCTATTTAGAATAACATAAGTTTTCAGGAGAGCAAAAAAACTGTTTATGTATTTAGTTCGTGAAGATTTTTCAATTTTTTTCTTCTACAATATATTTTTAAGATCATATTTTAAATCGTTATATAAAAAGAATTTAAAATTTTGCATTATTTGCAAAATTATTCACAAATTTATATCAGATAGAGCTTTTTTTCTACGAAAATTTTTTTACAACCTTCAGATAGAGAGTTTTTCATTGAAATATAAATTTTTTATTTGATTTAATATCAATAAATATTATATTTTATGCAATTTAATGAAGTAATATAAACCAAATTGTTGAAAAAGCAAGAGATTATAAGTTTTTGGTCCAAAATCAATGTTATATGGTTAACCACGGCAATAAAATTAATCAAATTGGTATCATAATGAGCGATATCTCGGAAACTATTAAGCCGATTTCAAATATTTTGCGGATTTGTGTTCAGCATGTCCAAAATTAGTAAAAACAACAGAAAATTATACAAAATAATAGAGTTTGAAGCAATTTTTGGATAAGATAGAGAGTTTTGCATTCAGAATTTTTCTTTTTATAAGACAGGGAAATTTAAAAATTGCTATAAAATTGCCAAAAAATATTTTTTCTTTTGAAATTTATGTCTCTGATGCGGAATAGATTTTCATGAAATGACAGATAGAGACTATTGAATATAGTCCCTTGACATTCTGATGGTATTCCTACTAACTTTTTATTAATTATTTGAACTATCGAAACAGTTTTATCAATTTCGATAGATTTTATTTGTTATTATCTGTTTAATTTGACAATTACATTTCTAAATACCTTACATTGAGTTCTTGAAAACTATTTGATATGATCTCCAGTAGATTTTTACATGTTTTTCATTGAAATAAAACTTTTTGAATATATTTATTGAAATGTTTTATAAGAATGTTATACAAAAAAAACAAGATCCACTAAAAACGGAAACCATGATTCCTTTTACTCAAATACATATATGTATTTAAATAATCGCTACTGCCTCTATCCTTTTCCCATAACCTATTTTCCTAGTTCCAACACAATGTACTGTATGAGTACGGGTCATACCCTGAGTACAGGTAAAATAAAAGTAGTTCTCAAAAACTTTTGGTGGTTTCGCATTTAGGCTAAATATTTGATCTAAACATTATAGAAACATTATAATTTTTTATTTTATTAACATATTCTTAGAATATTCTAAATACATATGTTTCGACTTTCATTTAAATAATAGATAAACTTTGTGAAAATTTGTACAAAAATCGTTTTCTAAAAAATCATCAAAGTTAGAGTTAAAATCGTCAAATCCTCAATAGGTAATTTTTGACACTGAAAATCGTCAAAATGATGATAAATCGTCAAGTCTGGCAAGATTGTATACCACATTGGTATGTTGTTATTGAAGAGTTGTATTTTTAGGTACTTTTTTAAAATAATGTTTGTGTTGTAATTTTATTTTTATTTTTTAACTTCCTATTTGCTTTTTGTATGTTGCAGCATTCGCCACGCGTTTATTTTCTGTGCTACGCTTTGAAAGTGTCATCCACGAATTTGATCCGTATTTCAATTATCGTACAACACGCTTTTTAGCCGAAAATGGCTTTTATAAATTTCACAATTGGTTCGATGATCGTGCCTGGTATCCGTTGGGACGTATCATTGGTGGTACCATTTATCCCGGGTTAATGGTTACATCGGCTGCCTTATATAGGATATTATGGCTATTAAATGTTACCGTGGATATACGCAATGTGTGTGTATTTTTGGCTCCTTTCTTTTCATCCCTAACCACGTTGGTCACTTATGCTTTGACTAAAGAAATACATGTGAGTATATGTTTGTTATAATATTGAGGTTAGGTGTGGACTTAACCTCTTAATTTTTTAATTTCGTGATGAATATTTTATAATTCTTGATAGGAAGAGTATGAAACATAATGAGTACTACAACTAAGCTGAATACTTTTCAATAATTAATTAAACAGTTTTGATTTTTTATAAGATACTAATGTTTTTATATTTTTATTTTATAGAGTACTGGCGCTGGTTTGGTAGCCGCTGCCTTGATTTCCATTGTTCCTGGTTATATTTCCCGTTCTGTGGCTGGTTCTTATGATAATGAAGGCATTGCCATATTCTGCATGCTATTAACCTATTATTTATGGATTAAAGCCGTCAAAACGGGTGCCATTTTCTGGTCTTCCATGTCAGCCTTGGCCTACTTTTATATGGTATCCTCTTGGGGTGGTTATGTTTTCCTAATCAATCTCATACCTCTTCATGTTTTGGCTTTAATGTTTACCGGTCGTTTTTCACATCGCATCTATGTGGCCTACAGTACTTTATATTGTGTGGGCACTATTTTATCTATGCAGATTTCATTTGTGGGTTTCCAGCCCATACAAAGTTCGGAACATATGTTGGTAAGTTAATTATAAAAAAATAATACCTTTGCAGATTTATATTTATTATTAAAATAAAATATATATTTTTCACTTTTTTAGGCATTGGGCGTCTTTGGTCTGTGTCAGATACATGCCTTTGTCGATTACCTACGTTCTTGTATGCCTAAGGATCACTTTGAGACCTTGTTTAAGGCTTTAATATCTACCATTTTGACTGTGGTATTTATTGTGGGCACTTTATTAACCGTTACCGGTAAAGTCTCACCTTGGACCGGGCGATTTTATTCCCTGTTAGATCCTTCTTATGCTAAAAATCATATACCCATCATTGCTTCCGTCTCTGAACATCAACCCACTTCATGGTCTTCATTCTATTTCGATTTACAGGTAGGTTTTTTCATTTAAGTCTTAAATTTGTGTTCATTTTCCCTCATTTCCATTAATGATGATAATATTGCTTTCAAATGAGTACGCCTTAATGTTCCAAGTGATTACATTAACACTTTGATCGCTGAAACAATCCTTAAATGTTAAAATTAAATGCATCGTCACATATAAGTTTTTCTATAGTCAAGACTATAGAACGATCAATAGATCAATCTATAGACTGCCTGATAGTCAAGACTATATATTGATCTTTAGTCAAGATTTATTTTTTTCATCCCTTCATTCCTTACATTTTTTGTATTTTCATCCCTCATTTTCTACCTATTAATTATGGTTTGTCTATCTCATCTCTTTTAGATCCTAGTTTTTCTCTTCCCAGCCGGTTTATACTTTTGCTTCTCCAAACTTTCCGATTCGAATATTTTCATCATTTTGTACGGTGTCACTAGCATTTATTTTGCCGGTGTAATGGTTCGTCTAATGTTGGTATTGGCCCCTGTTATGTGTGTCCTATCCGGCATAGCTGTGTCACATTTATTGGCTAAATATATCAAATCGGTTGAAGCAGCTTCTTCATCAAAACCAGTCGAAAGTAGACGGCAATATAAAAAATTGGAGCAGCAAAGTGGTGGCGTTAAAAAAGAGGTTGCTTTAACATTTGTGGGCATTGTTACTTTAATGTTAATAGTCTATACATTCCACTGTACTTGGGTAACGTCAGAGGCCTATTCATCGCCTAGTATAGTTTTGAGTGCACGTTCGCACGATGGTGGTCGCATAATATTCGATGATTTTCGTGAGGCCTACTATTGGCTGCAAATGAATACACCAGAGGTAAGTTTAAGCATAAGAAAAAAAG